TGTGTGAATGATGTGCAGCGCTTTTTGGGTAAGGTGCAGTATCTTGGTCGTTTTGTGGATCATCTTTCCGATCGCACTACACCATTGCGAGTGTTGCTGAAGTCATCAACGTCATCTTTCATTTGGTCTCCGGATTGTGAGCGGGCGATCGTGGATCTCAAAGAGCTATTGACAACTCCTCCGGTTTTGGCATATCCTGACTACACTCGACTTTTTATTTTGCGTGTGGATGCTTCTGATATTGGTCTTGGAGGTGTGTTGATGCAAGAGAGCTCGAGTGTGCCTGGTCAGCGCCATCCCATTGCATACATAAGCCGTACATTACAACCAGTGGAGATGAACTATTCCACGACGGAGAAGGAGTGTTTAGCAGCAGTCTGGGGTTTCGAGAAACTTCATGCATATCTACATGGTTCTCGGACGTTACTTGAAGGTGACCATGCTGCTGTTGCTTCATTATTGAAGCGGAAGAACCTAGTTGGTCGTACGGCTTGATGGGCTTTGAAGCTTCAGATATATGATTTCGATGTTGTTCATCGCCCAGGGAGTTCTATGGCTGATGCTGATGCCCTTTCTCGAGCTCCTCTTCCTTCTCCACTCACTTCTCATGTTTCTGACAAGCCTATTGTTCCAGCATCTGTGGATTTTCTAGATGAGGATTCTGTGCCGTCGGTGGTTGCTGTCCTTGACGTTTAGTGTCCACAGAGTGCAGAGCAAGATCTGCCTTCTCTTGAGGAGGTTCGCAAGGCTCAGAAGATTGAGCCGTGGATTCAAAGGCTTCGCGATGGGTTTGAGAATCCTGCATCACTTGCTGATGACTTGCCTTTCCGGCATTTACATTCTCAATATCACCTTGAAGATGGCCTTCTTTATTTTGTGGGGACGGATCCTGATGATCATTTACGATTGGTGGTACCTTCGGTGTTTATTCCGCGGTTTCTCCATGCCTACCATGATTCTCCTGTTCTAGGTGGGCATATGGGACACCGTCGTGTCACCGAGAAGCTGTGCAGGTCTTTCTATTGGCCGGAGATGTGACATGATATTATCCGGTATGTGCGTAGTTGCGTTTGGTGCCAAGCTCGTAATACTCCCCCTTGTGCTGCGAAAGGACGGTTGGAGTCAATTGCAGTTTCCCGTCCGTTTGAGTTGGTGGCGTTTGATCTTATGGGACCTTTTCCACGATCGACTGCTGGCAATGAGTATGTTATTATTGCTTCTGACTACTTGACTCGTTGGGTGGAAGTTGGTGCTCTTGCTAGTGCCTCTGTAACTGCTGTTGGATACTTCCTCCTCAATCGAGTGGTGTTCCAGCATTCTTGTCCAGAGCGGATTCTTTCGGATAATGGTCCTGCATTTATGGCTGAGGTATTTCATGTTTTGACATCTCGGTTGGGGATACGCCACACTTTTACGAGTGCTTATCATCCACAATCAGACGGTCTGGTGGAATGGCTCGTTCGGACATTCAAAGGGATGATTTCGAAGTATGTGAACTTTCAGCATTCGGATTGGGATGGTTATTTGCCGTCTCTTCGGTATGCCTATGTCACAGGGGTGCAAAGTTCTGTTGGTGCTTCACCATATAAACTTCTATATGGTCATTATCCAATATTACCAACAGAGTTGAGTTTACCTTCGCGATTGCCACGAGCTCCTGATGCTAGGTCATGGGATCAGTATTTGACAAGCATTCTTCCACTTGTCCGAGCAGAGTCTGCTGAACACTTAGGCCGCGTACAAGTGGGACAACAACGGCGCTACAACTCCCATCATCATCCACCTGCGGAGTACAAAGTGGATGATTTGGTGTTAGTTCGTTTTCCCCATCTTACGGTACGTGGTTTATCTAAGGGGCTCCTTGCGCAGTGGAAAGGACCGTATCGGGTGTTGCGGCAAGTTGGACCGCAAGTTTATGAGGTTCGGCATGACGTTCAGTAGGCCGATCCTCCAGAGATTGTGCATGTGCAGCGGTTAAAACGCTTCATACAAAGGGATCAGGAGTAGTTAATACCGTCTACAGATCCGCCGTTACCTCCTCCTAACGTTCCTCCAGATCCCGGCCCATCTACAAGAGAACCCTGACGGCCTTCCATTATTCCGAGAGGAGGGGATGATGTGAGGGCCAAGTGTACGGCTACGATACCATATACTAATATTAGCGTAGTGGATTTTGGTAGCCGTCGGATTGGTTTCAATCCGGACCACTCGCTCCTGTATATAAGCTAGGGTTTTTGGGCTAATTGAGATGCACATTTCTGTATTCCCTTTCCATATTCCATGCACTCACATGTGTATAATTTATAAAAAAATTGAAACACCTCCATATGTTTTACAAGATTAAATTATCTACATAATCACCTTTGGTTATAACCTTCTATTCTTATAGTTCAGTTTTATCTTTTTACTACTTCCTTTTTGAAATACAAAATATGATTATGTGGATCAAAGATCAAAACAAAAGTAATGATCTGAAACTCACACACGTGAAAATAAAGGAGAGAAAAAAAAAAGAGAGGAAAATATGTTTTCTTATGAACAAGTCTTGCTACCATTATCCGCTTTAAGAGCCTTCAATGATGGTAGCAACTCAAAACGAAACAAGATATGATCAAGCTTAGCTAGCTTTTGAGTTTTTCATGCCAAGGGATCATTGACGCAAACGTCTTGCAAGACTCCGATCTTCCTCAGTAGCTCCTCTGGATACTCAGACTTGCGCTGGCAAAGCAGAAATGATTTATAAACATTCAAGAGAGAAATCTTTTACTTGCACTTCCACAACGCTAGATGAGTAACGAGGTGGAATATTACATGAAGGTCTAAGAGCTAAAAGATTCGATTTATAAATTCTGAAAGTTAATCTTGAAGGGTCTCGGAAAGTTATTTCGAGTCATACGGAAGTAGAGCATCTCGCTTTATTTCCATGAAACTCTTTGGAGAAATCGCTTGGGGGCTTGGACGGATCCCAAGAAGAAGCCACAGGAAATCTGGTTTTCCAAAGCGAACCCCTTGACACGCACCCTCTTCATACGTGAAATGGAGTTCATCTCCAGTGTTGAATCTAGCTAAATATTCCAGGGAGAGCTTATGAATTGGCACCCTGAGCCAAGCGTACACATTTGCTTGGACGCCAAGTTCGTTTGCGATACTCCCCAAATCTCTTATGGTCGAATCATTAAATGTGGGTGGAGTATATGGTAGAGTATAAACCGTGCCCAAGAATTGCTAGAGGTCATAGATGAAAGAAGTCCAAGATTTATAAACGGCAGAAGTATGAGGATGTGCCAGATTTGTAAACTGTAAGTGAATGTCCAGTCCCTGCATGGAACTGGACATTAGGAATGTGGTGGGAGAGCAGTGTACGTAGGGTAATAGTCATGGCTTGTAGAACTGAGGGAATATTCCATTTGCCGCTACGTCAGTATTAGGGTCACAACCATTGGGGACACTTAAGGGGGAAAAAACAGGGGATCAATTATGTGTGAGGAAGTGAAGAGAATAAAGGAAAAAGGATGCCTCAATGAAGAGGTCCTCGGTGAAGTGCTCTCAATTGTGTGAACAAGTGACTTCGGATACAACGAGAAGCAAGAGAACGTCAAGCCACTATGAGCATACCCTGTCCTCACTGTGGGCAGCGGTTCTATTTTAGAGCAAACTCCTAAATATTCCCTAGGGTGTCTTCACTGGTGCACTGCTGTGTTGTCTAGTGGTAAAATAGTACCCTACCACGGTATAGACCCAGGTTTGTTTCCCGGGCAGTGCACAAGTGAAAACACCCTAGGGAATATTTAGGAGTTTGCTCTAAAATAAAATTGCTACCCACAGTGAGGACAGGGTATGCTCATAGTGGCTTGACGTTCTCTTGCTTCTCGTTGTATCTGAAGTTGCTCGTTCACACAATCAAAAGCGCTTTGCTGAGGACCTCTTCGTCGAGGCATCCTTTTTCCTTTATTCTCTTCTTCACTTCTTCACACATACTTGATCCCCTGTTTTCCCCCCCTTAATTGTCCCCAATGGTCGTGACCCTAATACTGACGTGGCGGCAAATGGAATATTCCCTCAGTTCTACATGGCTCAATCTCTAGAGCAAGATCAACCTCAGCACGCGATGATCAAAGGATTGTATTTGAATGAGGCATCTTGCCGTCCATTCACAACGATATCTGGCTGCTCGATCGGCATTTTTCCATCCATTCAGACCGCCGTTCATCAACGAGGCATGAAGTAGCTGCGTTTCTCGGACACGTTGCAAGCGGCCGTCTGGGGGCTCCCGTGCCTGTCCGCCGGCTCTCTGCTGCGATTTCAAGCTCGCGGATTTCTTCCACAATGCGCTGAGACAGCGCGGACGATGTCTCCGGTTAGCAACCAAGAGCTAGAAGCTGCCTTTCCTTCACCCACCGATATCTGGGACCGATTCGATCGGCATTTTTCCATCCATTCAGACCGCCGTTGAGGACCGAGGCATTCGGCCGTTCATCAACGAGCTGCGTTTCTCAGACAAGATGCAAGCGGCCGGCTGAGGGCTCCCGTGCCTGCGCGCCGTCAAACTCGCGGATCTCCTCCACGGCGCGCTGAGATAGCTCCTGTCGATCGATTCCTCAACCAAGAGGACCTCGAAAGAAGCTGCCTTTTGCTCTCAATCCCGGCTCAATCCCTCATCCAACGATGACAAGGTCCAGGACAGCTCGGAGCCGGAGCAGTGAGCGGAGAAGAACTTCCTCTGCCGGCCGATTGGACGCGACGGTGTTAGCGCTTTGCTGAAGCGAGGAAAGAAGCTGCCTGTGCTCTCTATATCCCTGTCCGACAAGCCTAGAAGCTCAAGAGCAGCGCTACCGGAGAGAATCTGTGCCTTTCCTCGATGCTTGGGGAACGATGCGAAAGGAGAGAGAGAGAGAGATGAAAAACTGTTTGTCGCGCGCAATGCCGTGGAGTTGCTGTTCGATCCGCGCTACAAGCCGAGGAAACAAGTCTAGCGCTCCCAAAGATGTTAACCAAGAAGAGCTCGGAGAAAATTTAAACTTGGCTTAAACCACTAAAATAACCAGCTCGCTTTACCCCTTAAAAACACTGTAGTATATTCTAGTAACTGAGTCTCGTCCTGGGAGATTTCTCTTCCTGGATTGTTCCGGACTTCCCGTAAAGCGGTGTCCGTCCACTTGAAAAAATGCGCTCGCTCTCTCTTGGTTACTTTGGAATGCTCTTTCGGAGCTCTTTGTAGAGCTGGGTCATCCTGATCGACATCACAAGATTTTAGAGAATTCCTCAAAGCGAAGCTGCGAACCTTGCGTGTATGAGATGCGACACGGTTGGACGCTGATACGAGAGCAATCTGTGAGTGGAGTGAGCGTAAGTTTCGAGAGATCTTGAGCAAAGAACTGTCAAGAAAATGGAAACGAAAGCTTACTCATCCCATCTTCCACCTTTACCTCCTCTTCCATACATTCCTCCTCCAAAGCCATCATCGTCCATGGGCGTCTGAGCCTCAATCTTGATTGAGTTCCTCAGCCCGGTCCCGTTGTTCGTTGGCTCTCCCATCTTCACGGATAATTGCACTCCCGGCCTTCCATCAAGTCGGAACTACACATAAACACCAATTGATCATCTAGGAAAACGAAGAAAGAAGAAGAAGAAAAAACGAAGAACAAAACGAGCGAAAAGAAGAAAGAAAACGAAGAACAAAGCGAGAACCTGGACACCGTCTTTGAGAGCTTGCGTCCTGACGTTCACGTCCTTCATTGTCCTGGAACAGGCAAAAAGTTCCAAACATGGTGAGAAGCGAATGTCTGTATGCAAAGAAATGAAAGAAAAGCGATCAGCAAAGGCCACAAGAAAGAGACCTAACAGTTACCGATTGCGCAGGATTGTTCTCCAGATGAAAGTGCTGGCTCGAGATCAAAGCTCCACCGGAAGCAGTCGCAGTGATCCCACCGCCATTTCCACCACCACCACCACCACCTCCAGTTCGAGACAACGAGGTGGCGGAGCTCTTCCTGGGACTGCTCACTCGGATTTGCACTCCTTCCGTCAAGTCGACTTGCATCCCCGGCTCGCTATCTACTCTCCTGGCCGAGGAAGGCCGACTATTCACGGGCGATCGCTGCTGCGGAGATCGCACTGGAGACCTCTGCGGAGATGGCGAGAGTCTGATCGAAACCGGCCCTCCAGGAGCTCTGCGTTGATCTCTTCCACCTCTCGAGGGAGAGCCAACATGGACCGAGACTTCTCCGGGACGATCCATCTCATTCCTGCTAGAAGCACGTCCTTTGGAGAGCTCCGACGCTGGCCTGGAATGCGACGACGATGCCACTAGAGCTCCCGATCCCTCCTTCCGGGGATACTTCCACACATCAGTCAAGCTGTGCTGGTTTCCAAGCTGGCCTTTGGATCGCGGCGTATAGTCGGAGCAGCGCCTCCCCTTCTTGCTCACAATCTCGTCCCCAAACGCCACATTGAGTTCCTCCGGCGAGAGCTGGATGAAAACCTTCTTGCGATCCCTCTCGCGCTCCAAGAGGTCGGCCTTTCTCACGCCCGTGTTGGCGAGATCGAGCACCGGCGAGCTCGGGGGATTGTAGTATCCACTGCTGAGCACAGCACCGCATTTGCGCATTTTCCAGACCCTATGCTCTCCCTGGATGCCCCAACCATCTTCCCGGCACCATCACACCATGGCGATGATCAAGATCCCTCCGCAAACGCAGTGACGACTGCCACTTGATATTTCGAGGGATTCTCACAGAGGGATCCAAAGCGCCGCTGCCATGCCGCGCATTGGCGCTGTGCGATTGATCGATCGCTCGCTCTCGATCGTGCCGGATCCAGCGGAGCGGCAGATCAAATCGAGGAGTTACCTCATGGCCAGATCTTCTCCTCTTCGCTGGACTGTCAAGCCCTAACCTCTTGCTGGTCTCTGTCACGTTGTCAACGGCCTGGCTTCCTGCGAGTCCGGGGAGGCTACCACGTCGGATCCACCGTTTGTACACGTGGACTAATGGAACAATGAATGATCGGTTAAATCAGTACAGCAGTATGTTCCTTTTTCTTCTTTGTATTTCTTTTATTTGTGTAGAACGTTTTTCTTCACGATCTTCGGCCTCTTGAAGCTCTGGAAAATTATAACGATTGCTTAGAATTACGAAACGAAGATCAAACATTGGCAAATAATATGGAATTTGGAAGAATCGAGCATTTTACCTTCTGCTTTTCAAGTGCCTCGTAGTCAGTTCTTTCTTTCCAAGTGCTCTTCCGAAGCTTGATCGGCCTGTTACCAACGTACTTGCCTAGAGGAAAAGAAGAGATTAGTTTTAGTGACTATGAGAAACGAACTTACCATTCATTTCTTTCATCGCAAAGGCAAGATCAGCAGCACTGGAGAAGCTCACGAATCCATACCCCTTCGTTTTCCCCGTACGCTTGTCACGAACTACCTGTACCCGACATCCACAAGCTGCATCAGAAACTTTCAGTGCCAAATACCGAAAAGGATGTGTGATGCTTACTCGAGCCATGTTGAAACTCGGAAATCTTGTAAAAGCTTTGGTTAGTACTTCGTCGTTAACCTCGTTCCCCAAATCCCCACAAAACAAACGAAAATCATCTGCAAAACAAAGCAACAACGATGAGTTTCCAGGACGATTGCCTTTTTTTTTTTCGCAGCTTACTTTCTGGCCAGTCTCCGAGAGTGGAATCCTCCCAAGATTGTCCAGCTGCTTTCCGAGGAATCGCTCGCTTCTTTGCCTCTGATTTCTGCTCGTTGTCACCACTAGCAAGAGCGGCTTTTACATTCTCCAGCGCTTCCGGGTTTATAGTCTGTGCGTCCTTTTGAAACAAAACTTGGGCCTGGAGCAAAGAAAGAACATAAAAACCAAACCAAAAAATTCAGGAACAGGAGTTCTAGAGGAGAGCTTTCTTTTCTCTTACTTGTTGTTGTTGAGGGTGATTGTAAAGGTCTGGAGCACCTTGGTAGAGTCCTTGGTAATGGTACTGCGGCGCTTGAATCACAGCCGAGGTTGGAGGCTGCTGATACTGTGGCTGGAATGGTACGTGAGTATAGAAGGTTGGAGTGACTTGTGGCGCTGAGAATGGTTGGCTCAAGTATGTGAACTGCGAGCTTGGAGGTGGAGCAGGCCTGATTTGAATCGGTCTAGTAGTCGGACCAATCGGTGCCTACCAAGAAAACAAAAAGTTCGATCACTCACAGCGAGAATGCGAGACAAACAAGCCATACCTGGACTGGAGCCGGAGGTGAAGGAGAAGGGCCGATCATTGGAGGCGGGCGTGGCGGCGAAGAGCGCGAGAGAGGCGTCGTGAGCTCCGATCCCAAATCCTTGATCTCTGCCTCGAAGCGCTCGAGCTCGCTCATGAGATTCGCCATGGCCGGCGCCCCGCCCCTGTCACAGCGCAAGAAAATCTCCCGCTCTACCTGGAACGCTCTCCTCCTCCGCCGGAGGAACCCTAACTATTCAAAGATTTTAGGCTAGGGAAGAAAGGGAGATTATGCGGGCAAAGATCGAGGAGGAGAGCGAGCGCGCTCGATTGGCGAGCAAGGAGGAGCTCGCGGCGCCGCTCCAGGCGCTGCCGCCAGTACAGTTCGCATTCGCCTATGGCTCGGGAGTTTTCCGTCAGCGCGAGATCTCGGAATCATCGGTGAGTTTCTTCCTCATTTCTTCTGGATTATCGACACTGCGATGGCCACAGGATCGCACGGTGGACTACATTTTGGGTGTCTCGTCGCCAGCGCAGTGGCATTCACAGGTAACAAATGTTTTAGAAGATTTTAAGAAGGAACTAGAAGGAACTTTGGTTGTTCTTGTTCTTGTTCCTGTAGAATATAGAGATGAATCCATCGCACTACTCATCTTGGATCGCTCACTTTGGCGGCAAAGCGGTACGATCCTGCCTTTCGATCGATGAAGTTTTGTTTGATAACACTTGTCTCTCTCCTTTTTTTTTCTCTCTCTGCGATAGGTAGCGGACGCAGCTTGTATTCTTGGAGTTGGCGTTCACTTCAATCCCTTTGTGGAGTGGCGGGGCAAAGTTGGTATTACACACTTATTTTTCTCGTATGTTTTCTTCTCTTTACTGTCATTCCTGATATGTTTTTCCCTCTTGCAAGGTGATCAAATATGGTGTTGTTGGTCTTTCTGATCTCGTGGGCGACATTCTAACGTGGAGAAGACTCTACATTAGTGGGCGGCTCCAAAAGCCTGTAAGTTTTTCTTCTTTGGTTTTCTCTTCGAAACGATTTCACGAGAGATCCTTGCACTTTTCTGTAGGTGTGTATGCTCGTGGACCATTCTGGGATAGCACAGAAGAACAAAGTAAATCTTCAGGCCGCTCTTTCGACTGCAATGCTTCTACTGCCTGACGAATTTTCCGAGGTGAATTTTTGCTCTATACCTCGTTCCTTTAGATTTGTTTTACTTGGAATGCTCTTTCTCTGTTTCAGCTTCTCGATGTGTGAGTTTTTTCTGCAGGAACAACTATACGAAACAATTTGCGGACTATCCTACCAGGGTGACATACGACTTCTTTTCGCCGAGGATAAAAATAAGGTAACTTAATGGAAATCTTAAGACCATCGTCTTACATTGATTGCGCACAGGTTTCGAAGATCGTCCAGGGCAGTTTCTCGAATTTCCGCAACTTGTACAGTTCCTCTATCCAACAGGCAACAACGAGCGACGTTCTGAAGCTGTCTCAGAAGGACGAGAAAGTTCTCAGTTCTCGATTTTCACAGGTATTTCATTTTAGTTGAGAAACTACCGCTGGCAAGCGTCTAATTGCGATCGACAGGAGCTTGGCCCTGATGCCGTCCGGGAGCATGTTTCTCACCTCCCTTCGACGCTTCTCCAGCGTTTGGCAGCTAAAACGGGAACAAGATGCGAGAATTCATCGGGAGGTACTCAATATGATCGAAACAAAGCTTGAGCTTCAGCACACCCTTTCGGTTTTTTTTTTTTTTTTTTTTTGTTTTTGTTTTTTGGGATCTTAGGCAGCGTCGCGGTCGCCGATGCGCTGGTGAGATTTGGGAATGCCCGGCAGAGATTGATCAAGCAAGCAGTGGCGAGCATCGTTCGCACGTCGAGCTTGAAGCAAGCGCTCTCGGGATTCATAGCTGCCGGTGGAGTGAATGCGTTCCGATACGCGTCCAGGAAAGTAGGCAAAGCGTGGAAATCCTGCTCCTGAGCGCGAAATATTTGAATTTAAATTTTGAAATTTTAACTTTTGGCGCCATTTAGTTTCTGGGTTTTTAGGGTTCTAGAAGAGGCGTAGCACTCGAACGGTAAGCGTTAGCTATGGCGGAGGAGGAATCGGCAGCAGCAACAGCGGCGATCGTCGAGGAAGAAGAAGGAGCGCCGACGAGGCTGTGGGTATCGGTGAACAATCTCTCGCAGAAGAAGCCCGTGACCTTGTTCGTGGAGGATGTGGACAAGACGCGAGGGGCGACGTCCGGGGAGAACGCCGCCGTCGCCAGTACCGTATCGGATCTGGTAACGGAGACGATCAAGGCGGAGATTCTCTACCAGCAAGATCAGGCCAAGGTCGCCGTGGAATCCGTGGACAGCGTAGTGGATGAAGCGATCAGGACGGAGCTCCAGCACAAGGCGCAAGCAACGACGCACGACAAAGTCCCTTACACTGAGCTCACCCTGGCGCTCATCAAGCCCGACGCGCTCAAGGCCGGCTACGAGAGAGAGATCCGGTACACGATGCAGGCTCACGGATTCGTCATCGTTCACGAGTCTCAGATCCAGGTAATGCTTTCTCTCGGTTTCGCAATTTCATCTCCCAGGGATGGATTTTTGCTCGCTGCGTTCTTTGTTCTTCCACGAAGATTGATGATAAACAGGATTCCAGCTTTGTGGATGCAGTTCACGAAAGTCCGGGCTGCGCTCTTCTATGATCACCACCAGGACAAGCCGTGGTTTGAGAAGCTGACGCGCTACATGAGCAGGTTTGGTCCCATCCATAGTCGATAGTTTCTTCGCTGAGTTGTTTTTTTTTTTTTCTTTTCAGCGCTCCGGTTCACGCTTTTGTCTTGGGCAAAGTCCGAGCAGCGAGATCGTGGAATGTAGCAATCGGTCCCACGGATCCAGAGCAAGCTCGGAAAGAATCGCCTCTAAGGTTTTCTCTCGTTCTTAATTTCCTGGGATGTTTTAACTGCGTGACACGAACTTTCGAATCATAGCTTGCGAGCACGCTTTGGAAAGGACATACTTCGCAATGCTGTTCATGGCAGCTTCAACGCTGCTCGAGCAAGACACGAGATCAAACTTCTCTTCCCCAACTGTAAGAAGCATATCTTTGTTCACTTGGGTGGATCATCTTTCTCCTTTTACAGTGATTTTGGACCCTCTTCTCGATCCACCCAAGGCTCGCTTCTACTTTGACAAGTTCCTCAAGAAGACTTTGATCGAGGGGCTGACTGCTCTTGCCACGGCCAAGCCACATTCGGAGCCACTCCAAGTGATCGTATCCTTTTCGTCTTTCTTTCCTCGTTTAATCCGTGTGAAGTTCTCCTTGACAAGATAGTTCTTCAGAGATGGTTTGCGCAGTGGCTGCAACACCACAATCCATACAGGCCTTTCGTTGACGGCAAGAAACACGTCGAAGTGGTCATTCCAGACTAGAAACTCTGCGAGAGCAGCGCATCACGTAAGCCTCTCAGTTTGTTCTTGCTTTCTTAACCAGATGAAGCTCGACTCCGTGACGGCCTTGAGTCCTTTGTCCGCCATCTCCTTCCGCACTCGCTCAGCATCGTCCAATCGACCAGCCGACGCAAAGATATTCGCTAGCAGAATGTAAGCCGCGGAGCACTCCTCCTCAAGCTCCGACACCTGATACAACGCTTCCGACGCCAGCTCCAGATTGGAATACGCTCCACACGCACTCAAGAAGTTCGTCCAGGATATAACATCCGGCACAAACGGCATGCTCTTGAGCAACTCCGCCGCCTCGACCAGCCTCCCGGACCTGCTCAAGAGATCGACAATGCAAACGTAGTGCTGGCGGACCGGATCGATCGCAAACTCGCCCCGCATCAGCATGAAGTAGTCCCAGGCCTCTCGGAGCTTCCCGGCGTGGCTACAGGCGGAGATGAGATTGATGAAAGTAACATCGTCGGCGAGGCCACCTTGGAGGACGAACTCGCGGAAGCTCTCAAAGGCGAGCGTGACATGCCCAAACCGGGCATACGCCGCGATCATGGACGACCAAGTCACGACGTTCTTGCTCGGCATCGACTGGAAGGCAGCTATGGCGTCATCGATGCTACCACACTTGGTATACATGTTTACCACGGCGTTCATCAAGGTGGTGGCGGTGGTGGTGGTGTTTGATCGATCGAGCAAGGTGGCGGCGGTTGTGGAGTTTGATCGATCGAGCAGCAGCCCCGACTCGATCAACAGCGAGTGGATCCAGCGTCCCTCGGCCAACGTCGCGGAGCCAAAGCAGGTATCCAGGATCGTCACGAAGGTGACGTCGTTGGGCGGCTCCCCGGCGTCGATCATCCGCTTGAAGAGCTCCAGCGCCTCGCGGCCATACCCGTTCTGGGCATAGGCGGTGATCATGGCGGTCCAGGAGATCACATTTCGATGGAACATCCGCGAGAACATCGCCCAGGCATCGCCCACGCTGCCGGATTTGCCGTAGAGATTGATCACCGCGTTGCCCACCGCGACCAGCGATTCCAATCCGGCCTGGCTCGCCTTGGCGTGGATCTCTTTGCCTCGCGCTAGATCGCCCAGCGTGGAGCAGGCATCCAGCGCGCTCACGACAGTGATCTGGTCGCCCTCCACGTCCATGGCGCGGTGGATCGCCAGCGCCTCGATCGGCATCGCGTTCTGGGCGTACACCGAGATCATCGCGTTCCAGGAGACGAGGTCGCGGAGATTTTCGCATCGATCGAAGACTCCCCTCGCGACGATCACGCTTTGGAGGCGGCCGTAGGCATAGATCAGCGAGTTTGGCACGCAGACGTCCTCGCGGTCGTGGCCGCTGGCGACGATCATCGCGTGGATGGATCGCGCTTGATCCAGGCTCTCGCAGGCGCCAAGAACATTGACGAAGGTCACGTTGTTGGGGTGGATTCCATCCAGGAGCATGCGCCGGAAGAACTGGAGAGCCTCGCGCGGCTGCCCATTCTCGGCGCTGGCCTTGATCATGATCGTCCACGAGTAGACGTTGCGGTCGCGGATGGAATCGAATACGCCGCGCGCGTCGGCGAGAGATCCACACCGGCCATACATCTGGATGACGAGATTTCCAAGCAGTCGATCGTCGCCATAGCCGGATTCTTGGATGCGAGCGTGGATTGCCTTGCCGCGAGCGAGCGATCGCGCGGCGCCGCATTCCTGGAGCAGGGAGATGAATCGCTCCACCTGGATGTAGGGATCGACGGAGGAGTCGTCGATTTCGTCCGGCGATCGGCAGAGCTTGCTGGGATTTGGCAAGAGCGCCATTTGAAATGGAATCTAGGGTTCTTTCGATGGCGGACGAATCCGGCGGTGGCGATGGCGGCAGTGGCGGCGATCCAGAGTGGCCGTCGGTGGATGGCGCGCTGGGAGCGCAGCCGGAGAAGGCATTGAATCAGGCGCGCCTCCTCTTCTACGCGGGATTCTTGCTCCTTCCCTGGCTGTGGTTCATGAATTGCTTCTACTTCTGGCCAGTTCTTCGCAGCCGCGCGCACAGCGCCATTCGACCCTGTGAGTTCTTGGATTGGATCATTCTTGGATGATCGATCTCTCTTTCGCAGATGTCGTGCTTTCGGGCATTGGATTCCTAGCCTACAGCGCGATTCTACTATCGTGGGCGCTCGCATTCTCGATCGGCGGAGAGGCGATTGTGGGACGAACCCTATGGAAGAAGCTCGCAGTGATGACAATCGTGGAAGAGTACCAATTGAATTAAAAGCTTTCGATTCCTCGCCTATTAAACTCCATTTTAGGGCAAGTCGAGAGATTCTTTCCTCGCGTTGGTTTTTGGGGTAAAGAGGGAAGCTGGAGGGAGCGCTGCTGGGCAAGAAGAACCAATCAATCTCACGCCCCGCGCCTCGATTCGAATCGGTGATCTCGCCGCGTCGCCATTCTCCGCCAGCGCTATCGGCGCCGATTCTAGGGTTCTTTGGTGAGTACGCATTTTCTTTGCTTGCGCGGGCGGTGGAGTGACCCCATCTCAATTCGAGCATTGGTTTCGTGCAGGCACGCGTAAATGTACTAGATTTTCTGCTAGTGGCAGAAGTATGAAGTTTGAGGATGGGCCGCTCAAGAGCTATTTGGTTAAGAACCTCCAGCCCTTGTAAGCGTTTCTATTTGTTCTTGGTTTTGGAATTCTTTGTTAACTTCTCTTTCCTTTAGGACTGCTGCGGACCCGGCGTTGCTCGCAAACTATGTAGCTGCGCTCCTCAAGAACAACAAGCCCAAGCCAGAGCTTCAGACCCTTTGCGTGGACAAACTCTTCGATTTTCTGGGCGATGGTACGTTTTTGGGAAACGCAGAGAAAGAGATTGTAACTCTTGTTCATATTGTCTGTCACAGGCACAAAACAGTTCGTAACACAGCTTTTTAAAGACATAGAAGATGGTACTTTGGTAGAGGTCCCAGAGGACTCTGTCTCGCCCGCTGCTCCTCCGGCTGGCGATGCAACGACGGAAGTGAAGTCTTCTCCCACGCCCGTGACCCGGACAATACCATCAGCAATTCAGACTAACGACGATGGAGACGAGAGCTCTGACGACGAGGATGATGATAGGAATCATAAGCACAGAAGACGCATTTCTCGATCGAGGTCCTTCGACAAGGATGCCGAGGAAAACGAGAGAAGCCACCACAGGAAACGGAGCAGATCAACGGAGAATGGTCACTACAGGGACAACCATCGCCACTATGATCACCGGAGGTCTTATCGAGGTAGAGACGGCCTGGCTTCGCGAATAGTTGTTGATGGAGCTGTCCACGGAGGTGGGATGCGAGGTGGTCTTCCGTTTAGAGATGCTGGTGGCCCGAGGTTTTTCGGTCCTGGTCTGCAGCGGAATATGGCTGGTAATGGTGGACGTGGTTGGCTTCCTCCGGATCAAAGATTTGCCGGGGCTTTTCCTCCTGACTTTCCACCCGCACTTCTAGCTCAAGGACCTTCCACTTCGAACATTTTTCCCGGAAGAGTCCCTGGTGGTAGAGGTGGTCCTCCGCCGCAACCCCCGTGGGGAAACTTTGGCCTGCTGGAGAACGGATCTTTGGAAGTGATCCCACTCAATCCTCGTGGAAGCAATCCAATGGCGATGATAAGCAGGACCAGGTGCTTGGACTTTGAAGAGCGTGGATATTGTTTGCGTGGAGACTTATGTCCCATGGAGCATGGTGCAAACCGTATAGTCGTGGAGGATGTGCAGGTATGTCGCATTTACTCTTTATGCTAACTCACTTTCTACTTTTGCAGAGCCTCTCGAAGCTGACTTTACCGATCGGAAACGCAAGGAATGGAACATCATCGGCTCCACCAGAAAAGGTGGCTCGAACAAATCGAGAAAGCCTTGGTGGAGAGGATGGCAATCCGGCAAGCACGGTGTCGGATTCCTATGACCCGGACCAGCCTCTTTGGGGTGGCAAGGATCCGTCCGACAAAGTGAGGCACTATAACTCGGAACGGCAGTGGGACAATGGATCGGATCCACGGGAAGTCGGGGTTGATGACAAAACAGGTGACAACACTTCCAAAAGTCTAGAACCAGGTGTTTCGGTATGGGATAGGATCGGCCCTGTAGATGGTGAGAAAGGTAGCGTGAAAAGGCCGAAACTTTCAGGAGCAGAGGAAGGAAATGGTCATATGGCAAACAATGGGGGTGTACAGGCTGAGAAGCACTCACATTTGCAACGAACCGCAGCTGGGACTAGCTACAGTGGAACAGATGGCCGGGACGATAGAACGGAAAAGGCTCAGCGCACGCTATACGTGCGTTGTATTCCGACTGACACTAATAAAGCCGATATTCTCAAGGGACACTTCCAGAAGTTTGGCAAGGTGCTAGATATTCGGATTCCGACCATGTGGAAGGACAGGGCCTTCGTGCAGTTTTACGAGCGGGAGAGTGCACTGGCAGCTCTTGCGTCACCGGAAGCTGTTCTTGGCAACCGATTCATTCAACTCGACTGGGCAAACCGTGACAACAGAGTCCACCCGCATCCTTACGACTATCATCGTTCAAAGCCAGGTGCTCCGGCGGCGGGGAAAGAAGTTCCAAACGGGACGACGGCTACGCCAGGGACTCCAGCTCCGGAAGCGAAAATGCCTGCTACGAATGGCATGGCTTTGCAGGCGCAAAAAAAGCAGGAGGAGCTGGAACAGATGAAGGAGGAGATTCGGAAGAAGCAGGAGGCTCTGGCCGCGAAGAGGAACGAGTTCAAGCGGAAGCTAGACAAGCTTGCCAAGCAGGTTTGGCTCTGGTTTCACTTTCTTCTGTTCGTGTCATTGACTCTTTTCTTCCACTGTTCTTATGTTGTTTCCAGGGTGTTACGCTTCCTGCGAGTGAATCTGATGCACAGGCTACGGAGGATACGAACTCGTCTACCCTTCCAGCCGCTGCGAAGTCTCCAAAATCTCCTTTTCCTCGTCCTGGACAACAATTTAACTCTGCTGCAGCAGCACCATGGGGACCGTCTCGGTACAAGCTTGATAATAGAACGACTGTATTCAGGATCATAAGTCCTCCACCTTCTGCACTTTCAGACGTAAGTTCTTCTCGTTTCTTTTCGTTTGTGGCTGTCAAGACTTACGAGAGTGTGATTCTGGCTTACAGATAGTGGCACTGAAAGCTCATTTTGGAACTTATGGTGAAGTTTCCGACTTGGAAGTAGTCGAGGAAGGCAGCGCTGCCCAAGTCTCTTTTGCCACACGCCGGGACGCGGAGAAGGCTTTCGCGCAGGGGAAGTCGTGGCAAGGACAACCTCTCCAGTTCGCGTGGGTGAACAATCCCACGCCATCGTCAACCATAGCTCCGCCGCCATCGAGCTCTTCAAACTTCTCGCCCTCCATCGCGCAGCAAGACGCGACTGTTGGAATCGAAGGCACAGTCTAGCGTGAAGAAGCTCCTTTTCCTTTTTGCTCTCAAGTTCTATCTCGATCAAAACCTCTCCTCCCAAGGTACAGTACTCTAGTGTTCTTTCGTTCTTTCGTTCTTTTTCTTTCCATTCTGGAGCTAGAGAGAAGGGAAAGAAAGCTTTGCAGCTGTTACTTAACAACAGGAGAAGATCTCTCCAAAGCTTGTATTCTTTTACTACTGAAATTTCTAATGATCTACAATCGTGCATGCAAAGAAGAGGACAATACTAATTGGAACTCTCGTGGCTTAATCTTTTTTTTTTTTGGTTAGTGATTTGCGCCTAAAATTTCTGACCGTGAACCATGTTTAGGGTTAGGGTTTTGGGAGAAGAGAGAGCGAGCCGAGCGATCTCCCGTCTTTGGCGCTCGCATTGATCTGTTTTCCACCGCTGCTAGGTTTCTCATGGATGGTGATGCTCTGGGCTCAATCGCAAGGGCAAATGTATGCCGGTTTTCCACTGAGATGCTGAGATTTTAGGATTTCTCGCCGCGATTGCGCCTACAAGCAAGCATGACAGCGCTTGTCTCTCGGACTGGGCGGCACCAACAGCGATATCACACTGGCTATCGTCTCGTTGCTGGGTATGAGCTAGGATTTCTTTTTCTTCTTCTTCGTTTGCTTTTCTTGTCATGCTTTTCCCCGGATCTTTTGGAGTGATTAAATGGCCCGTGGCTTTTGCTTTTTAGATGCATACCATACAGATACAAGGAGGTGGATGGTTGCAATGGAAAAGAGGAGCCAGTTTTGGAGGTTTTGATGATCACTTCGAAGAGTGGGAGAGGGCTCTTGTTTCCAAAGGTAACGAAAAAAAAAAAACTTTTTTTTCTTCTCCAAAGCAAACGAAACGAGCGTTTTTTTTCACAGGGAGGCTGGGAAACTGATGAAACTGTGGAAGAGGCTGCGGTGCGAGAGGCACTGGAAGAAGCTGGTGTTCGTGGCGATTTGCAGGTATGAAGTTGTAGCTCCTTTTTGCTTTTGTTTTTTCTCTTCGTGATGCCCATGGCTGTGGCTTGTTTCAGGGAGATATTGGGACGTGGGAGTTCAAAAGCAAGCGCCAGCAGAGTGACTTGAATCCTGCTGGCCTTTGCCGCGCGCATATGTTTGCGCTGGAAGTGAGAGAGCAGCTAGAGTCGTGGCCCGAGCAACACTCGAGGCAACGCGAATGGGTAAGTTCGTCGCTTTTTCTAGTTTCTCCGATTTTTCTAGTTTTTGGGAAGCTCATGGAGTCTGTCTGGATTCTCGCAGTTTGTTGTTTCCGAGGCGGTGGGTCAATGCCAGGTCGATTGGATGCGCAAGGCTCTCGATAAATGGGTGTCGTGCTTGAAAATCAGGCAAGGCGCCACCACTTCCAACCAGGGGCAGTCCTTTATTTGAGCCAATGCCGGAAAGAGAGCGTTGGGAGAAAAAAAATTTTGTTCCACGAATGCTGGAGGATGAGGTCGAGGCCGGTAATTTTTTTTAGGTGTTACGAGGATTTTGGGGTCCCTGGCTTGCTTTTTAGGAGAGTGGAATAACTTACAAGTGGCATAGGCAGAAAAGAAATCGAAATGTTCCGCCAGGGAGATGGATGCACGCAAGTGTAGAGTTTCCATAAATTCGAATGCTACCAAAGTACGAGTGAGAATGGCTCCTCGCTCATATTCTGTATGTGAGTACCAAAAGCATATGATCTTCACAAGAGAACTCTTGACTTGGAGCATCATCCGGATACATAGACTGCCAGTAGGCAGGGTGGGATTAGAAACGCAAAGAGAACAAACGATTGACATTCTCCAGATCGAGGTTGGGGTTACACACAAGATCGCGTGAGTGGAGTTATACAATCCTCTTCAAATTGTTAGCTATAACCTCCTGGACACGGAGATTGCTGACAGTGATTTTGCAATATGTGCAGCATGTATTAAAAGACGATACTCTCTTCAATATGGTCAAAAGCCCAGTCGATAACGATATTCCCATAGCGAGAAAATTACTAGGGTTTTAGACTTGCGCCAACTAGGCTTGAAACATGATGTGATTGGGCAAGATACCCCAGAGCAATGGCTCTTGCTAGGGACAAGTCTTCAGCCCAAACAACCATGGAATAACACATGGGCTATAAAAGTCATGGGGAAAAGTTGCGTGATTTAAAATTTGCACACCATAAACAATAAGAAAGGAAAGATCAATCCATGGCTATCTTGAGATTTTGGAAGCTCACTTGCTCGCTCGCTTGCTCTCCCGCCCTAAATCGATTCCAAGCTGCTCTCGCTTGCCCTCGTACAGCCACTGCTCAAGATTTGCTTCACTTAAATGCCTATCTAATGGGCATTTATGGACTCAAGTGGAGTTCGTGGTGCACTAGAAGAATTGAACAGCAATGGCTCTCATACGACAATGGATATGTATTGGTTGTTAGCATTACGTATCCTTTGCCATATAAGAGCTATTGCTAAGAACCAATATCAAATGGAAAACATTGGGTAGACTCCTATGTTTATTCCGGAAATTTATATGTATATGCCTTTCATATGTGTGAGATGGGTCCCCATACCATCTATGACTATTAGTTTGGGGAATATTTGAGGATATTTTTAATACTCTTTATTTAAAAATATTCTTAATCCAATGGTTAGGAGCAATCTATTGGATTGTTAGGAACATTTCTTGGCCTAGAATAAAGCTAGATAGTTGAGAACTATGTACATGGTTATTTGACTTGCCAAGCAATTCCATTGACATTGCTTGTGATCTTTGGCCTCTCCCTCTCAACGGCTTCCCAGGTTATGTAACCATGTCACATATTACTTAAACCTAAACACTCAAAACTTTTACTCTTGTTTATAAACCCCTTTTTTTTATATTTGAATTCTAATACTGTCTCTCAAATGGTTATTTATATTATATTTTTAATCCATTATGACCTCTTGTTAAATTTGTTTTGCTTAAGCCCTTTGAGACCTGAGTACCACAAAACCCTAAAATTTAAAAATAAAATTATTGGTTGTCTTAAATTTAAAGAAAAAAGATTGTTAGCAAATGTAAACTCCGAAG